GGAGTTACAAGAACGGCAGCCTGGCAGCGGGCAGACGGCGTGAGCACCTGACCTTCACAATGACCCTGTGACGTAGCTGCTGAGAAACCAAGCGAGGAAGCAGAGCTGGCCCGACTCGAGGGTCTGCAGATGGAAGGACAGCCAGCCTGTCACCTGGCTGCCACGGCAAAACCCTCGTGGCTTCCGGGAGAAGCCGTGAAACGGGTTTTCCTGGGTGGCTCTCCTTAGCTTTCTCAAGGACAGCATGGCCAGGGGACACTCAACAGCTCCCAAATTATGCAAATAAGAGTCTCTGGTTGCCAGACCACCGGGACGCCCCACTCCTTCCCCGGCAAACTCATGTCTTTCTTCCTTGCCTCGTCCCCGCCGACCCCTGCGCAGACAAGTGGACGGTGTCTATACAGAACCAAACGGCTCGTCTGAGCTACGCCTCACGCAATAGCCTTGTCCCCATTTTACAATGGGAAAACTGTCCCTAGGCCCGTCTCTCCGTCACAGTCCATTGAGCACCCCTGCAAGCCAACCCCAATTTCAGAAAACCAGCAGTGGCCTTATTGGGCATCAGCTCGCTCCTTCACAGAAACTCCTGGCCCCAACGCCGACGTTCGTCCAGCCACCCTGGGCTCCCAGCCTTTGCCCACACACGTTCCCTCTGCTCAGCCCGTCCTTACCCCAAGATCTGCCACCTCCAGGAAGCCGCCCCAACTGCTCCAGTCCAGTTAGCACAGTGTCTGCATCACCCGGCCCCAAGAGGGTTTGTCCTGAGCCAACCCCAGTGCCTTGGGGACCAGCCCATTTCTGCCCTCCCTGTGGGAAGCAGCGCTTCGGACGGGTGGGCCCGGCCTCCCTCCATGGAGACCTCCGGGCCAGACAGGAGGGAAAGGGCCAACCTCAAGGCCAGGGCCCGGCTCCGACCTTGGGCTCCACCCCCTGCCCTTTATAGCGAGGCTGCAAACACTGCCTCAGAAACACCTGAGCTGCAAATCACCTGCATCAGAAACACCTGAGCTGCAAATCACCCGCATCAGAAACACCTGAGCTGCAAAGCGCCCGCCTCAGAAATGCTTGGGTTGCTTATTGAAAACGCAGATTCCCAGGCCCAACCTGGGCCTAGAGAATCATTCGTATTCTCCAAGAATCTGCATTTCAACCGACTTCTCAATATTCTGAGAGACGGGGACATTTGCCAACAACTGTCCTTCACTTTACGAATCACATTGCAATTTTCTCTTGAGTCCGATCCTCACAGTGCCAGTTCAGCTCCACACAGTCACCAGGGGACTCAGGGTCAGAAGGAAAAAGACAGCTGGCAGAGGTGACCACGTAGGCTGACTTGTGTCCACCCCACCGCCCCCAACACATATCGCTCTGGTCTGACCACAGCTGGGGGAGGTGCCATGGGACCCTGGGTGGCACCAGCATGCGTGGCCAAGCCCTGGCGTCTGGCGTGGCCAGCACCACCTGCCCCATCTGGGATTCCAGGTGAGGACGCCTGCAGACTGGACGGAAATCCTGCCCAGGGCAGGGCCTTTTGCTGGCCCAATGCTGCCACCTGCCTGCTGGCCTCAGTATTGCAGCTCAGGCACTAGGCTGAGCCCTGTGGGGGCACACAAGAGGCCCACCGTGCAGGTGTGAAAACAAGGCTCAGAGAGCACTCAGAGCGTCCCCAGTGTCACATGGAATGTCACTTCCAGGCCTGGAAGCCAGGCCCTGTGTGGCTCCAAAGCCCTCTGCTCATTTCACCCCATGGCACATGCTCACAGGGTAAACTTGGGGTGATGTGGAGTGCCAGGGCAGCTGGGCAGAGTTCCCTGAGGATGCAGACACCTCCCCCACTTCCTCTAACCTCCCCAGTCTACACCCTGGGGAAGTGGGGAGCTGGGCCAGCCCAAACCGTGGGCACCACCAGCTTGGCAGGCAGGCAGGGGACGTCACTTTCTGCCTCCAACGCACCCCAATTCTCTGCTGCCCCCCAAATCCCAGAAGCGTCACCTCTAGTGTTGAATGTGAGGCTGAAGTTCAATGTCTGCTGAGGGGCCGGGCTCCCCCAGGGCCATGGCCATCCCTTCTGGTGAGGCCCCATTAAAGCCCCAGAAGGCTGGTTCCAAGCTGAATGAACACCGTCACCTTGGCTAGACGTGCCAGCCAGCTCATGAGCCGGCTGGGCCAGGAGGCCCCTCTCGGCGTATCTGGGGTCATCTGTCCCAGGGTGGGCTGATAGGCCAGCATCCCTGGGCCAAGAGGCAGAGGGACAGGGACAAGGTGGATTCTAAAATCATGGGCGCCCTGGGCTTAGAATGACTCTAGCATACCAGGAACCCCTCCTTTGCAGACAGTCTTGTGGGGTACACCTTGGATCCCCCACACTCCTCAGAGTTCCAAGTTTCCAGGATCCTGGGAAGCCAGCCCCCCCCCACCCCACCCCACCTTGTACAGCCCCAGCTGCCTCGGCCAAGCCCCGCCCAGGGCACAGCCCCCGGAGGCCAGCCGTCTCCGTGGCTGGCCAGCGTTGAGGCCGAGGCCCAGCTCCTCTGTAGACAGAGCCTAAGTGGACACAAGCTGCGGGTCCTTCGCCCCACAGTGCAGGGCTGACCTCAGCTCGGCTGAGGTGGAGGTGCTCCAACTTCTGCTCGGAGAAGAGGGTGGACATGAGTGGCCACGCTCAGGTTAGGGACACCGGGGGGCTGTGGGATAGCTGGGGTAATGCTGGGCTGCCCAGGCCTGCCACCTGCAGGAAGCATTTATGCAGGGCCCGGCCAGCCTCAAAGGCCCGGGTGGCCTTCCTCCATCCTGGTGAACAGGCAGGAGGCCACCCAGAGCCCTGCGGCACACACGTCACGGCCACCTTGCCGGAGCGCCTTCCCCACGTGCCACCCACACCCTGGGCGGTCACGCACGGGGAGAGGGTGGGGCATGGATGGGCAGCGAAGAATCCCAAATGCCCGTCCAGGAACAGGCACCCAAACTGGCAGTGGGGCTGAAATTTACACCCGTCAGGGGGGACCAGGCAGGCACCGAGCTTTGGGTAAGAGCGGAGCCGGACAGGCTGGGGTGGGCAGGATGCACGCGGAGCGGGGAGCAGGAGGGTGGGGGTTCCAGAGTCTGCTGGCGCCCCTAACAGGCAAAGAGGGGCATGTGTCCACCGCAGAGAATCGCAGCCTGTCCGAGCCTCGGCTGGACTCCTGAGGGAACACTCCTTCCTGAGACACCTCTTCCCGAATCTGCGGGGAGCCAACCGGCAGCTGCTTCGAGACCCAAGCGGGTGAGGCTCGATCCTTCTCTTCTGCCTTGGCGTCAAAGACAGCAGTGACAGTGGGGTCTGCTTGTCCCTTAACGCGACAAACACTAAAAGCACTTAGGAGCTGATCTCGGACCTGAGTGTGACCACGCAGCGCCGTCCCGTGGGCCCTCCAGGGACACCCTTAAAGTAGGCGTAAATATCTGCAAAGGGGCCCGGTCTGGTGAGTTAGGGGGATGCTCCCTTGGCCTCCCGCTGTCTCCCACCCCAGCTGCCCGCCCTCCTGGCCTCCCAGTCCCAGACAGAGAGGAAGCCTCTGCAACTCGAGTATAATTCGCTTTTTAATGAGAACAACCTGTGTAAATGACAGAAGGCTGCCGCCGTGCACGGACGGCAGTCACAGACCACCCATCAGATCCATTCTGCCCAAGGAAGGGAGGGAGGGAGGACGCGGGGGCCCCTGAGCCGGCGGCCCCGCCCCCCGGCCCTGGGGACGATGGGGTCACCGACTGCCCGCCCGCACACGCCTCTTGAACGGTAAGCAGAGATCGAAAGCGCAGCAGCAATAATACTGGGTGAGTCCTTCCTTGCGTAAAACATCTGAATTAATTCATTGAAGGTATCAAAAATATACCCTGTAAACCAATACATCATTTACACCTGCCTTTCTTCCCCATCGCTGCGGCAACGATGTGTGAAAAAAACAGTCCAGGTCCTCGAGCAGCCGCTCGCCCCGGGCCGCACCCGGCCGCTTCGCCCGCCAGCTCCCCAGCTGGCTTTCCAGAGGGGCCGGGGCCCTGGCCAGGCTCTGGCTTTGCTTCTCTCCACCATCCATAGTCAGAGAGGGGGCTGTTCAGGTCCACCGGAGCTTGTCTGGGCTGTTGGCCGGCCCGGCAGGGACCAGCTTTGTGTGCCTGTTCATGAAGGCAGCAGGATTTCCAGTCCTCAGCCTGAAGGACAGAGATATCTTATGTTGTCGTTTGCCCAGGAACAGCCACTACGCCCTCTCCGCTCCACTGCCTGGAAAGCTCTCTGAAGGGGATCTTGCCTGGGAGGCCTCTGCGCTTTGCCTGCTCCGCCGTGCCCGGCCCTGGCCCCGGCCCTGGCCCCGGCCCCGGCCCCTCCCCTCCCGAGCACCAGGTAAACTTCCCCTGAGTAAGGTCACTGCACAGGGCCAGCCGGGGCGGGAGTCCTAGTTAAGGCTTGAGACAGGCGAGGGTGCCGGCTCTGGGTGGACGGACGGGTGCGCGGGCAGACTCAGGGGCTCCTTCCTCGGTCCGGGCAGTCGGCCGCTGGCCAGGCCCCGGTGCCGTCTCCCGCCCGCTTCTGACAGTCACTCGCTGTCGGAGAGCGTCTCATACTGTGAGAGCAGCGG